AACATCAGGATCTAGTATCGCGTATTTTAAACTTGACATTGTTTATAAGTTATTTTCAATTTCATTATTCATATACCTTTATTCCATGCCTAGATTCACTGACAGACGGACAATTCAATTTTTGACGTTTTAAAAGAGCCTAATTAAGTATTAAATAAAAGGAATGCTTTTATAATAACTGTCGTGAGACATACTAAATAACCAAAAATCGCGGGTTACTCACGTGAGTATACTGAGAAAAGCTCTACTAGTTTCGAACCACAGAGGGGTTCTTACTCATGAGCAGCGTGCACGATCGCGGCGATTCAGTAACCCACCATTTAAAAATAAATGCTTTAAGTTTGATTCGATTTTAAACCCAACAAAGAATCTATGACACCCCTAACCCACTATGCACTAAAAGCTTTTAATAGAACCTACGAGAAATACTAAGTGGCATCCTTAACGTTTATTTTTTTACTAGCGATGCCATTTTACTTTAATTAAGCGGGAAAACGGGACTATGTCTGGATTTTGTGATTCACCCCAAGGCAGGGGTAAAAGGGAACCTCGGCCCTCTCAACTCCAGACCCCCTGTCTGGGAGATACACTGACATCTAAAACGTACATTATTAAGTACTTATTTGGGGTGCAGGAGTACTGAGCGATATATCGATATTTATATCGGAGCTTCAACTAATCGATGTCGTTCGCCATAAGGCGCCTTTTACGAGAAATTGAGAAAAGCGTACACGCAATTATGGACCGTATCGATACCCTCTGTTGAACAGAATACTAGGAACTCAAACTACGTTTTGCTTTGAAATGAAATAGGTTTCGATATTTAAACAGTGTATAATTTTATTCCACTGTAGTATCTAAGCGTCTCGTGTTGGAGTATCTGTTAAAATGTTTTAAGTTGTATTCGAACTGAGATTCATAATACATCCAAGACTACCCCTTGAAAATGTTGGAAATTCATTAAAAGAAATCTATACTTACAGTGCACTTTTCTTCCTCTTCATCGTACAATGCAAATCGTATCAAATCTACCTCCAGGTACGAGGAATAGAATGAGAAAAATCCATTCCTTTGTTCCTAGAACATAAGCGTTGTCTTTCTAAGTGCTTAAGCGCTCTTCTTTTAAATATTGTTTACGGAGTTGAAGTATCTTCTTATCCGTTTAATGGTTTAATCTTCCCTTGTAAAATTCTCATAGATAGATGGTAATTTTAGGTAATCATGCTATTACTTAGAACTATAGAATTAATGTAGTTCATAGTGATACCAAAGTTCACAGATGTAAAAAAAATGTCTACTATTCTGCAATTGTACCTCTAGTGCCATTGTGTGACACACTGTCTTGAAAAAAAGTCAATAATTATTATTATCACAATTAATTTATTGCCTCGT